TTTTCTTAACATTGGGATAATTGAGATGATTTTTATTCACAACTACTTTTGCACTAACTGCCAAGGGATGTCCTAGACTTAGACATTTCTATTCCTTTTAAAAAGAGATACTGAAGATACTTGTATATTTGCAATCTGTGTTTTCATTTGATAAATTATTTTATTCTTTTGAGTACAGAAACAAACTTTAATGCAACATATTCTCCGATGTGACTATGAGGCTTGCAGACAATACCTGATGAATCTCGAACAGGCAGTTGTCTTGGATCAGAACCCCCAGGTGCTGCAGACGTTCCTTGGCCACAGATGCGACGGGAACCGCAATATTCTGCATGCTTGTGTCTCCGTATGCTTTCCAACCAGCAACAAGGAGACAAAAGAGGAAGAGGGTGAGCCCAAAAATGTCATGAAAATAATTGGAAAATAATCTTTTTATGCATTTTCAAGAGTAGTTTATTTACTTTTTTTTTTTAATGAAAACTACATTCTTTAGATATGAGTATCTTACATATTTTAGATACTAAATTTTCTTAACCTCTCAGAGGTGCTGGGCCAAAAAACATATATACAAATATATTTTATTTTTAACTCTTGCAAGGCTTTATACAAATTCAGTATTTATCTTCATTAGTTGTAAGACACAATTGTTTTCATATCCACATACTAATTCTAGATGAATGCAAGTGTTTTACCCCTTTATGCCAATAACAGTGTTTTAGCAGAGCGTTTTGGATTTTTCAAGGGTTTTAGTTTATACCTCCATGAAGAAATGTTTACTTGCAATATATACTGAGAAATGTGAACAACAATTTGTTAAGTCAGGCAGCGCCCTAATTTAAAATGCCTATTAAATGCTATTATGTGAAAACATAACAGCAAGGTTGCTAAATCAGACGCTCAAAAATTAGGAAGTACCAGAATTGAGTTTACCCATGTGCTATACGTGGGTATATATTGTGATATGGTCTTTAATTACACCGTCATACTATTTTTTCCACAGGACTACCTCATTCAGTGCACAAGATGGACGGTGCTCACCGAATGGGTAGCTATTCAATATTTCTTTTTATCCTCATCATTCAGTGTGTGGCCCCATTCCTCCCTTATTGCACACCATACAAGCCCTGCAAGCCCTGTGAATACACTTCCTTGTGGGGTTTTGTATGATGCTGTCATTGAATTTGTTAGACTATAACTGTGCCTCTTATCCCAATTTATAGAATGGGAATAGTGCTACAACTTGCTCATCTCTTTGAGGGTATTGTAGCTTGAAGTTTTTATGTATTTAAAAGTGTGAGCTAATCTTGAGAGTTCTGTTTGAGAAGTCTAGGATCTATTGTCATATTTTTGAGTAGATGTTTCAAAATGTTTTATTCCAGAGCTGAGTTTATAGTGACTCTAGTCGTTCTGTGAATGTCAACCATTTCTGTGAGTCAGGTACCTGTTCAGTGTCCAAAAATGAATAAAATGTATCGTGATCATCTGTAAAAACTGGTTTTACAGAGTTCTGTGTACTGTTAGATGTGGCAGAAATAGGATAGGTCTTCTGGGTGGTGTTTAGTGGCATTAAACATGAGATAACGTTTCCCCCTCTCCCATCCAGGCTCTTGCAGCATTGCTACACACCTTACAACTTTTGCAGCAAATAAGGCACGAACAGCTTGCTCATCATACAACCCTTCATCTTAGTGTGTCGTCCATCCTGTGCACTGATTGAGGCAGGGGTCTTGTTTGGAAAAAAACAATAAAAGAAAAGAAAAACCAACACCAACAAATAAAATGCAGCCAACCATGTAACTGAAATTGTGTTTTACTCTAAGCACAAGAGGAAGCTGACATAAGGATGCATGGGCAAACTTAATCTGACTTTTTCTAATTTGAGTGCTTGTCTTTGCAGCCTTGACATTCTTTGCGTAAATCATTTGGATGTAATTTACCTTTTCAAAAAAAAAAGAGGAAAAATGCAAACCTGATAGACTCTAACACCCCTCTGCCTCTCTCTTTCCCCTCACAAAAGCTGTTTTTAAAAGGGGATTCACATCCTTTGATTAAAAGCACATTCACCTTTCACTGCAACTGCTAGCCATTGATAGAAGGACAAGCTTATTTTCTATACATCACTTGAAGGGAAATGGTGTCTAATATTACTGACTGTAAGTTATACTGCAAAGAAGATTGATTTTAGGTGTAACAAGTTCACTTCAAGACTCCAGATATGATGTTCCTTAAGAATTGTAAGCCCCTTCCCACCTAGCGCCTTCCTGAGGCCTTCACTCTTCATCTGGCTTCCTTCTTAAATGCTAGAAGTGGAATTCTGAGGGCATGGCCAACCTTTTTTTTTTTTTTTTTTTTTTTAAAGCTCTGAGATCGTGTTCCTAGTTTCATCATAGCTTCCATGCGATTGGATAAACGAATTGCTGAAAAATTGGATGCGGTCAAGGTTGCTTTCTTCTGTAGTTTGATACTTCCTCAGTAGAAAGGAACCTTGAAAAGAGAGATCTAAAAGACACGTCCAAAGCATTTTAAATGTTAAGAGTTCTGATACTAAGTTTTCCTGTCTTTGCTGAATGTCTGAAAACAGGATTTTTTTCCTAGAGACTTAGAGCAGATTTCATAAGGCAGCAAAACAACTAATAACACTTAGAACCAGGGCATTTACCACTGAAGAAATGAATCAAGTGATTCATTTCAAATATGAGTGCTAGCTTTGTCATAAACAGAGTAGCTGAAATTCAATTAGTTGACACTGGAACTAAGGATAGGTGGAATATCTCCATTTTATATAAGAGCTATTTCATACATGCCTACATATATAAGTATGTATCTATTGCTTGAGAGGTCAGCCAAGGATCCTATTTGAGGGGTGTTTATGAGTCCGGATATGATGAATTATTCCTAAATGAAGCTTTGGCAAACATAGTTTTTTGGAATTTTCAGAGGCAGAGCGCTCCGAGAGGAATACGTTTGCTGAAAGGCTGTCGGCTGTTGAAGCAATCGCAAATGCGATCTCAGTGGTGTCGAGCAACGGCCCAGGAAATCGGGCAGGGTCGTCCAGCAGCAGAAGGTAAACTGACTCTCTCGTTTTCTGTCTGCTAATTTCAGTATTAATTACTGCGTTCTCAAGCTTAAGAATGGGTTCTGTTGCTAGTCTAAAATTAGATTTCACTTCTTGCTGAAGAAAACTGGAAATAAATTTGGTTTTGTTTTTTTTAGTGTGAAACCTTGCTTTAATGCTCTGTCTAATTATGAATGAAAATGCAATAATATTTTTGCTTCATTTCTGTATTCAGTTTGAGATTAAGAGAAATGATGAGAAGATCCTTGAGAGCTGCTGGATTGGGCAGACACGAAGCTGGTGCTTCCTCAAGTGAACATCAGGATCCAGTTTCTCCTCCGATAGCTCCTCCCAGCTGGGTTCCAGATCCACCTGCCATGGATCCAGGTAAGTCTGCTAATGTATCAATCTAGACTATAAAATCTGTACAAAGTACCGGCTGTCCAAAGTACCACAGTACTTAACAAAGGTACCAATAACTTTTAAGGTGAATTGCTTAGACTTCAGCATGAGACTGAAATATTTAATGTCATTGAGCTAGTGAGACCTGCATAAGAGTTGACCAGGACGTATCTTTCTACTGCTGTTGCCAATCTTCTGCAACGTGTTTTGTAATGCTGGTTACACTGATGCTAGTCTAGGAATACGGTGTTTAGTAGGAAAGGACACCGATTAAATACAGAAAAGGTGCAGGGTGTTAGACACTGCAGAAAGAGCATGTTGTTAGGGATGTTTTTATGTATTGATGTACATCCTGCTGTTCTGTTTACTGAAAGATGGTGACATTGATTTTATCCTGGCCCCCGCTGTGGGATCTCTTACCACAGCAGCGACTGGCACCAGCCAAGGACCTAGCACCTCCACTATACCAGGTGAGAAAACACTACTTACGTGGTTATGCTACAGAAGGAAAATGATCTCAAAACCTATCTTTACTTGTATGGACTTCTTGCATATGCAAACACTTCTTCCCAAATTAGAGATTGAGTTGAAACAGAATTTTACAAATGTATATTAAATAAATGCATGAAGCCCTATGCTGTGTTTTGCACAAGAAGTAATTTTACCTGGAAATGACATACATGTGAAAATAAAGTAATCGTTATGAAATTGGCCTTGCTGCCTGTATTTCAGAATGAAAGTTGGAACTGAAACTTAAAGTACTTGAGCAAAATGATGCTGACATGAGCCAACCCAGGAAAAGTCAAGCTGCTCCCTTCAGTGAAATATGTTGTTTGCTTTTAGTAAGTACTTAGTTTGGAGAAAAATGTTTATATATATATTTTTTTTCTCATTGCAGGTCCTTCTACCGAACCATCTGTAGTGGAATCAAAGGATCGGAAGGCAAATGCTCATTTCATACTGAAATTACTATGTGATAGTGTCGTTTTACAGCCTTATCTTCGAGAACTGCTGTCAGCCAAGTAAGGATTTTCAAATGAATGCTCACAATCCTTCAAAAGGAAATTTATCACATAAAAGCCTTTTTTAAATTTGTGTAAAGAAACAATATTTCAAATAGAGAATTTTAAATGTTGGCTCTTAGCTGTGTTTGTGTCCTACCATCCTTTAAAAGTAGGTATATTGCACAGAAATAAAATGGATAAGAAAAAGTGATTATTCACTGCTTTAAAAGTAGGTATATTGCACAGAAAATGTATAAGAAAAAGTGATTATTCACTCGGTGGGTTTGTTTGTTTGTTTGTACAAGCTTGACAGTGTTATGACAATGTTCTATTAGTTTCCTGTTTTTCTTTTGTAACTAAAGTCAGTTTTGACTTTCTCCTTTTTTTCTTTTTCTTTTTTTTTTTTAATTCCTAGGGATGCAAGAGGTATGACACCATTTATGTCAGCAGTTAGTGGCAGGGCATATCCTGCTGCAATTACAATTCTAGAAACTGCACAAAAAATTGCTAAAGGTAAATTAACTTCAATATTTGTTAGTGTGTTCTTTCCTTCTGACGTCTGGCTTTAGAATGTGCACAAAATCATTATTAACATTACTTTTTTGTATGTGAAATTGTGTGCTTGAGCAAAAGTTGATGGGGATAAGCTCTTCCAGGACAAGAGCTGCTGCATGTTCTGGAAAACCTACTGTATCTTTCTATTGTGTAATGCATATAGGTTAAGATGGAGTTCTGTGATTACTACTGCTGTTGTGCGCTTTCTAATCTCTTTAGTATTTCATTGCTTTACAAGCATGAGTGGATTAGCTTGAAAGTTCTTTCTTTGAATTGAAAAATAGGATCCGATAAAACTCTGCAGAGATAGATCCAGTTTCTGAAAAGACCCTTTTGCAAAGAGTTCTTTTATGACTCTTGAAACTTTACCAAATTAGAGCTGTAATGTGGCAAGCAGATTTTTTTTTTTTTCATGAAAAAAGTGAGGGAGACTTTACTCAAACTGAAAATTCCATATGGGGCTTCAGTTTGTGGGGTCTTCCCTCCTCTCCCTCTTTTTTTTTTTTATTATTATTATTTTTTTTTAGAAAAAAAATAGAAAAAAACACTGATGTTTCTGTTCCTTTTAGCTGAGGCAACTTCAAGTGAAAAAGAAGATGATGTGTTTATGGGAATGGTTTGTCCTTCTGGTACAAATCCAGATGACTCTCCCTTGTATGTGTTGTGTTGTAACGATACCTGCAGTTTTACGTGGACTGGTGCAGAGCATATTAATCAAGTAAGGTTTATTTGTTTTGTTTTCTGTGTACACTGTACATGTACTAATCTAGTACTTAAATGACTAAGGTTGCAATGTTTTAATGATTGTAACTTTTAATAGTCTGGGCTACTTGTTGCTTTGCTTAATTGCCTCTTACTCTTCAGAGCTGGTTACTGTATCAGACATTGTTGCTAATAGCTTGGGATTTTCCTTATTACTAGCTTGGGAAAAAAACAGAGAGAGGAATAGTCAGTATTTTCAAAGACTTACCTAGCAACAAAATTTCTTAGACTAAAATTGACTTCTAAGTGACGACATTGATTTGAGCAGGTGCAATTTTCTTGTAACCTCAAATATTGCAAGATAGCAAGTGCTGCAGGGAGAAAACTATGACTGGTGGTTTTGGTAAAACTGCCTTTTTTTCCCTCTCTCTCTCTAAGGATATATTTGAATGCCGAACGTGTGGCTTGTTGGAATCTCTCTGTTGCTGCACAGAATGTGCAAGGGTCTGCCACAAAGGCCACGACTGCAAGTAAGTATTGTGGTATTGTGTTCTGTTTCTTAAAATTAAATTAATCATTTGGTGTTTCATTTTTTTACTGATAATTGTCCCTTTTTTAAAATTCTTCTGGTGTTAGAGAAAGATTCATAAGTATTTCAAATGTCAATTTTATTTCCTTCTGCTCTGTAACTTTGAGGATTTAAAGTGTGAATAATATGAAGCAGTTTTGTACTTTTGGCTTTGGAGAGTTAAAGTAAATGAATAAAGTAGTCTGTAACACCTTCAAAGTGCTTAACGAATTAACACCCTTTTGAGAATAATGTAGGTAAATAATACCATGGTTTCATTTTGGATGCTTCTGAAAGTTTCTGATGCCAATAAGCCCCGATGACAGGCCGTTCCTGTGAAGTTTCAGAAGCAGTGTAGTGTTCATCCCTAAGATAAGTGCAATAAATGGAGAACTACCAGTCCAGTGTGCACTCAGGATTTCTCTGCCCAGCCTAGCCAAAGCTATGAAGCTATAAATATTTTTTGTATCCCTCTTATAGGGTCTACCTGTTACTGCAGTAGTATTTTAGTTGTAATAAGCTAACAAAATTATAAATATGTTCTCAGCATCATAAGAATTACTGAGTTTCTATTGCATATGGAAATAATTTTCTTGTCTGGAGGCTATTTGGGAGGGACTCAACAATCTTAGATGAGATTTATTAAGACACCATGAAAAGCTCTACAGTGAAAATATCTTCATAAAATCAGTTGTACGTACAGATAATAGAAAATGCCAAGTGTAGCCACTTAAAATGTCTGTGTTTCTCTTAAGCTAGTTTTTGGTGCCTTTAAAACTCTACCAGAGGTATTAATATGTACACAAACATCCTCAGCTTGTTTGGAAGATTCTCTGTACCTGAACAGTGTTGTAACTTACCTTTTCCTTATATTGTAGGCTCAAACGAACATCCCCGACAGCCTACTGTGATTGCTGGGAAAAGTGCAAGTGTAAAACTCTAATTGCAGGACAAAAGTCTGCTCGCCTTGATCTGCTTTACCGACTGCTTACCACAACAAATCTGGTTACTATGCCAAATAGCAGGTGAGGTCTGATTTGCAATGACTAAGGCAACATGATGTTTACAATGTTAAATGTACAGTACATTATATCTCCCCTAATCAATTTCTGCCTTACAGGGGCGAGCATCTTCTGCTGTTTTTAGTGCAGACAGTAGCCAGGCAAACGGTGGAGCACTGCCAGTACAGGCCGCCTAGAATCAGGGAAGATCGTAATCGTAAAACTGCAAATCCAGAAGGTAGGAGCTGTTTCACTGGAACAAATAGGCAAATTCTGTATTTCTGTATCTCTTTCTTACTTTTGTTGTCATTGTTTCTTTAGATTCTGATATGCCTGATCATGACTTAGAACCTCCTCGATTTGCCCAGCTTGCTTTGGAACGTGTTTTGCAAGACTGGAACGCACTGAAATCCATGATCATGTTTGGCTCCCAGGAAAATAAAGACCCGTGTGTATTTATTTATAAATACTTCTCAATGCAAATTTTGATCTGACACTAGAGACCCACTTGCTTACATAAATTTTATTCCTTTCCTTTCATTTTTTCTAAGTCTTAGTGCAAGCAGTAGGATAGGTCACCTTTTGCCTGAAGAACAAGTTTACCTTAATCAGCAAAGTGGAACTATTCGCTTGGACTGTTTCACACACTGCCTTATTGTCAAGTGTACAGCAGACATTCTGGTAAGCACTGGTAGTCATATTTGAAATAGACTTTAGTGTCACATTATTCAGAATTGTATCGTGGGTGGTACATTTCAGAGACTTACTTTAAGAGAAATTTACTTTCGGTGGTGTTATTTTTTAATTATACTGCTTTTAATTATTTTACTCTTTTTAATGCTTTTATGACTGTGAATCTCAGTCTCTCTTTTTTCAAGCTTCTAAATTGCACACCTTTAATGTGTTGTAATCACCTTTTTTGACAGCTCTTAGATACTTTGCTGGGTACTCTGGTAAAGGAGTTACAAAACAAATATACACCAGGACGCAGAGAAGAAGCTATTGCTGTTACAATGAGGTTCCTGCGTTCTGTGGCAAGAGTGTTTGTCATTCTTAGTGTAGAAATGGCTTCCTCAAAAAAGAAAAAGTAAGTACTTTTTGGTTTTTGTGTGTGTGTTGGGTGTTTTTTTTCTTTTTAATTCATTCTATAAATGAGTTGCTGCTAATCTGGAATGGGCAGAATGATGTGAATTAATTTGCAGCCTGTGAGCAGCATTTTGTGAAAAGTATATCATTGAAGATTTGACAGGAGCTGCTAATATTACATGCAGTGTTTTCAATAGATTTTTTTAAGCATTCTCCTAAGCTAGCATACTGACTTTTTCTCTTTCAAAAGTTCAGAGATTGGGGGAAGTGGGTTTTTTACATATTTGTCAAAGGGTAATCTATAGTTGTTTGTCAGTGATAGATTTAGCCAACTTTAGTCTTAAGTTATTGAATGATGCATGCTTTTAACTTTTTAATAGCTGTGCAGATTGTTACTATACAGCCCCACACAAACCCATCCATGTGCACACACATGCATATAATAAGTAAATATGTATATATGTATTGATGGTGAATATCATTTTGGAGAAACGTTGATGTAACTAATGATTTTGAAGAGAAGATGCATTTGATCTTTCTTCTTCCTTCTTTCTCCACCTTCTTCCCAGCAATTTTATTCCACAGCCAATTGGAAAATGTAAACGTGTGTTCCAGGCATTATTGCCCTATGCTGTTGAAGAGTTGTGCAATGTAGCAGAATCTCTAATTATTCCAGTCAGGATGGGAATTGCACGTCCTACAGCACCCTTTACTCTTGCTAGCACTAGCATAGATGCCATGCAGGGAAGTGAAGAGCTGTTTTCTGTCGAGCCTCTACCACCTAGGCCATCATCTGACCAGTCTAGCAGGTAAAGCTCACTATATGTTCTCTTCTCCTGCAGCTTGTAAAAGTTTGAGTGTTGTTTTTCTGTTACCTTTTTACTTATAGGCCTACCTTTTTAGAAATACTTTCCTACTGACCGAATTATGAAATAATAAGGTTGATCTGGACCTGGAGAGGTCATTGGCTGCAATCCCCTTCCCGAGTTGCTTCACGTTCTGGATTTTGTTCACATGGGTTCAGAATCTTTCCAAGTGTGGAAATGCCACAATGCTTTGGGACAGCTTTCTGATATTTGGCTATCCTCATTTGGAAGAATCTTCCCCTGCTCACCACTACCCTCCAGCCAACCACCATCTCCCAGAAAAAAAAAAATGTTTTAGGGGTCTGCTGTCTGAAAATATATCTTGGAAATGCATGTGTTGGAGTATCTCTGCACAGGCTTTGAGAGGATTTCTGATTTTAGGTGGTCCAGCTGTGCAATGTGATCATTTCAACTTAGCTTTGCTGTCACTCAGTTACTCCCTCTCCTCATTCTCCTATGTAGGAAGAAATTGATCCTAGTTTCTTGATGAATCTGGCAGAATCTTTTCATTCTTTCAGTGTAGCCATTTGAGCATGTTTTTAGAACACGCTTTGAAAAGGGGATTTAAACTCTTGCTTCTTTGAACATGCTTTTCTTTTTATAACCAGATTTTTTTTTTTAATTTAAGTTCTAGTCAGTCTCAATCGTCCTATATCATAAGGAATCCTCAGCAGAGACGGATCAGCCAGTCACAGCCAGTTCGTGGTAGAGATGAAGAACAAGACGATATCGTTTCAGCAGATGTGGAAGAGGTCAGCTCTCCTTATTTATTTATTTGTTTTTCTCCGTTATGGCATGTAAGGTGTATTACAGCACAGTAGCACCTGCTTTCACATCTGAACCTGCAAGCCAGGCGTCAGGGACTTCAGTTCACCTACGATATTGAGACTATTTCCTTACAGCACTGTTGTACTTCGTGAAGTCTGACTGTACCATATGCCTTCTGTTGTATAATCAATCTAGCTTTGTCTTTCTGTAGGTGGGGACCATATAATCACTTCTAGAAAGGTTGTATTAAATCTAGTACAATAGAATATGCTAAATGCCTTGAATTTGACAGAATTGCAGTTTGATTTAGGAAACTAATAAACACATCTCTAGTCGGTTTTGCATGTAATTTTGCATTATAACCCTGTTAAAACACTTTTTAATGGTCTTTCAACATATGTTAGCTATTACACATTTTCCACTAGAGGACAAAGAGGGTCTTTTACCAGAAGGATGGTTCTTCAGTATTTGGAAATTAATCTCAGGTTTTGTTGTCATCATTAGCATGAGAGTGTAATGTCATAAGCTATCTTGTATTTGTGTCCCTGGATTTTTCCATAATGCTATGGATTGTAAAATGAGATCACATAAATACCTATACCCCAGCTGCTCTCCCCATATGTGTACAGCTACTGCAGCTGCAAGTTGTCTATCAATAGACAGATTTTTTTTTCCTTATTTCTTAGTTTTAAAGCAAAAATTAATTTTTTTTCTTTTTTTGGTCGGGTGGAAGGAGGTGGGAGGGACATAGAGATATGGAAGATACAGTAGCATAATCCTATAATGCTATTTCTAGGTTGAGGTGGTTGAGGGTGTAGCTGGTGAAGAGGACCACCATGATGAACAAGAAGAACACGGAGAAGAAAATGCTGAAGCAGAAGGACAGCACGATGAGCATGATGAAGATGGTATGTCTGTTTTGTAATGATCCTTTAATTATTTTATCCTGTAATCTAGAAAGTAGACATGACAAAAGATGACAATATTAAAATGCCTAAAGAAAGATTAAAAAAAAAGTTTTATTTTATACCATAAATCATGCAGATAGGTAGGATGAACAAGCTGAGCAGTACAAATAATAATGCTCTTGAGAGGTCGCCAGTGATAATGATTTGGGATAACTGCGTAAGCAAAGAGAACTGAAGCATATAGAAGCACATCTTAGCACTGAAGGATAGAGAAGCACATATAGGAAGGAGATGAGTAAATTATGGATAATTAGTAGGCAGGCACATAAACTATTTTTTTTTTTCCTCCATGCACAAAGAGAGAATACTAAGACACCAAAGAATAAAAAGGAAACGTTAGCATGTGTTTCGTTAATGATATCTAGTTTGTCTTTGGCATTTGCTATTTTAAAATGTTATGGGCACAAATTATTTGATGGATTTAAAATAGCCTAGCTCTTGTGTGGTTAATGATTAGAGGTAGATACGGTAGATATGAAAGGGATCTGAGTCATTGTGCTTGAGTTTTCAGACCAATCATATGCCGTTAAATTGGACTTTCTGATGTATGGAATTCATGCATTATTTATAAAAATTTTTGCTATCAAAGTGGTTTATCTGGTATTGGTCACTTTGGGATTAAATGGCCCAAAGTCACGATAAAAAATGTTACCCTCTACTCTTTTAAGCTATGTCTCATGTTTCCAGTCAACCCATTCTCAGTGCAGTGTTAATTCATTTTCTGATTACTTGAAACATTAATTCTCAAAACTTGAACCTGAATTGAAGCTGTATTTTTTAATTAGGTGTTTCTGTTTTTTGTTTTTAAGTTTTCAGATATTCCTTGGATAGTCATTTGAAACAGCTTAAGGTTAATTGTTCTAATATATGTGCACAAAGAAAGTTGTGGAGTCTTTTGGCTTGAGTGGCTAATTGTGAATTCTTGAAGTCCTATTTTTTCAGTGTGTCTTAATTTTCAGTGTTTCTGTTGAATGTACATGTGCAGTGCAGAGTGAGAGGGCATTGAGGTTCCTAATGTTTTTCTGTATTTTTAACCTACCTGTAAGTGTAATCTAAGGACTAGTTTCTGTGTGGAAAAAAAAAAAGCTGAAAGATGTGTATAAAATTAGGAATGATGTGGAGGTGGTGAGCAGGGATCTATTCCATGTAACATATAACCAGAGGCAACTAAAGACACTGTTAGGTGGCAGGTTTAGAACAAAAGAAAGTGATTCTTTGTATGATGGGTAACTACAAAAAACATTGCCGTGGAATGCTATGAATGCCAGAGACGTAAAGGAGCTCAGGAGTAGCCGGGTTTAGGGAGGAAAATTTTGTGAAGGGTTATCAAGCGCATAAGGAGGAAGGTACAGTCTGTAGGGCAGGTATTGCCAACTGCTAGGAAATGGGAAGGAGTGCTGCAAGTGTTTTTGTATGCTTGCACTGCTTTTATGCCCTTTCCCTGCATATCCATTACTTCCTGCTGTAGTAAGAGGCTATGGATTTAGTGTCTTATCTGAGACACTTCAGTCATTCTAATCTTTCTCTTTTTAAACATGAGATGTTTTTGATACTGTTTTTATAGGCAGTGATATGGAGTTGGATCTGCTGGCTGCAGCTGAAACAGAAAGTGACAGTGAGAGTAACCACAGTAATCAGGACAATGCTAGTGGGCGCAGAAGTGTTGTCACTGCAGCTACTGCTGGGTCAGAAGCAGGTATGCCACATCATCTTGTGTTTAATCTAGCTACTTAAATGTAGGCATTAGGATTAAGTTGTACAGGAAAAAGAAATCTATTAGTGATTTCAATATAGCTTTCACAAGGGCAGGACTGGCTCCATCTTAAAAAAAAGTGATACTATCCTTTGCCTTTGCGTCTGGACAGCATCCAGCATTCCAAAGATATACTGGAGAAATTATTTACTTCATGATTAGGTTGGATAGAAGGAGAATTACCTGAGCATGACATCTTAACAAACAGCTTTCACTTGTAATCTTATTTTCCCTTTCTGTTTATCTCTCTCCATCCTGCTTCCCCCCTCCCACCTCCATTTTCCCCCCATTCTCTCTTTTTCTTTTGCTTTTTCTTATCCTGTAAATGGAAAGAACTATGCAGTCCTTTTTGGCCTTTTTGAGATGTGTTAAGATGAGACCTGTCTGCTTACTTGCTTTTGGAGAGTTTCTGCATGTGTTAGTGAGAGATTATCTGGCATGCTTGGGAAATGAAATGTGCACTAAAAAATGCTCATTTTTTTAGTGTAGAAGTTAGATACGGTTTAACGCAAACCCAAAACCTGACCAATTGTTTGAAGATCTGAAAACAGCTGCTGTACCTTCCCCCATGGAAGTGTAAATCTTAGGAGTCATTGCCTGAGTATAGAATCAGCCTTGCTTATAAGTGAAGACTTTTTAAGATCATTTTTTTTTCTTTTTTTGAAATATAAGTAATCTGATTTCTTTTTTGTGAAATTGTTATGGAAAATTAACACTATGTAAAGACGTCGTGTTAAGGATTTGCAGCAATAGTACTTTTTTTTTTTAAGTATATGTGGTTTGCTCTTGTGAAGAGGCTTGCAACACTGTCACAGTACATGTATTTGCACACACCAGAGCGGTTGTCAGTGGCTGTTTATTGTTTATTTTCCTTACGTAGGAGCTAGCAGTGTCCCAGCGTTCTTTTCCGAAGATGACTCTCAGTCAAACGATTCCAGTGATTCCGATAGCAGCAGCAGTCAGAGCGATGACATAGAGCAGGAGACCTTCATGCTCGATGAACCTCTGGAGAGGACCACCAACAGCTCCCACGCCAACGGCGCTGCGCAGGCGCCCCGCTCCATGCAGTGGGCTGTGCGGAACACGCAGAACCAGCGAGCTGCCAGCGCTGCCCCCTCCAGCACCTCGGCCCCCGCAGGCAAGTCCCAGCAACGAGAGTGCCACTTACCTCTTTGGGCTTTCTTCTTTCTCTTGCTTTGCTTGTCCTCTCAAGGAAATGTTATGTATTTGTCTTAGGAAGACAGAGGTGGTGTTTTTTGACTGTTATAGTTCTGTTTATTTTTTATGTTGTTTTCATTTTTAACAAAATGAAGCATCTATTCAATCTTAAGATGATGAATGCACTAACTTGAGCTAGTTTATTATTCTTTTTTATCTGCCTGAGTTATGATGTCAGTACGATATACAAGTTTATTCCTAGAAATTATATAAGTTAAAACAAGAATTACATAGTAAAGGCTAAACAAGTTATTTAATGTCATCCCTTCTCTTATGTTTAGCAAGCTCAGCAGGCTTGATATACATCGACCCGTCCAACCTGCGCCGGAGTGGTACCATCAGTACAAGTGCTGCAGCAGCAGCTGCTGCTCTTGAAGCCAGCAATGCCAGCAGCTATCTAACATCTGCAAGCAGCTTAGCAAGGGCATACAGTATTGTGATACGACAGATATCTGATCTGATGGGTCTGATCCCCAAGTACAATCATCTCGTGTACTCCCAGATTCCCGCTGCAGTGAAGCTGACTTACCAAGATGCAGTAAACTTGCAGGTAAGAGCATCCAAAACTATTTGGATAGAACTTCAATATGGCTGGATTTCCTTAGGTGGAGATTTGTGAGGGCTGGAAGGGACCTCTGGAGGTCATCTAGTCCAAGGCCATCCCAAAGCAGAGCTAGCTCGAGCAGGCTCTTTAGGGCAGGGTCCAGTTAAGTTTTGAATATCTTCAAAGTTGGATACTCTACAACCTCTCGGGGCAGCCCTTTCAGTGGTGTTTGACCATCCCCACAATAAAATAAGGATTTTCTTATTTTTAAATGAAATTTCCTATATTTCAATTGGTGCCCATAACTCCTTTTTTTTTTTTTTTCACTTGGTGTCACTGAGAGGGACCTGATTCTGTCTGCTCCTGTTATTCTCTTCAGATAATGAATTAATAACCCCCCGCCCCGCAAGTCTTTGTTTCTTGAGGTTACACAACCTGGTGTGAGAGATGCTGAGAGATGAAGTAGCCTTAGCTACTGAGTCCATCAAGTGCTTATTGGTTTTGTTGTTTTTTAACCAGAAACGAAGTGTGGGTTTTTTTTTTTCTTTTTCTTTTCCCCCCCTTTTTTTTTTCTTTTGGCTATTTTAGCCTATGGAAGAGAATTGCTTAGTTGAGACAGAAGTATTTGTAGTAGCCTATGAAAGCCTTAGAGCTTAATTTTTATTTGGATATAGAAATGGAGATGAGACAGCACACACTCTGTTTAGTGAATACAGTAACATCTTTGAAGGGGGTGGGATGTTATTGAAAACCAGAATGTAGTGGAATGAAGATGCCAGGTTGACATTAGATCAAACATATCAATGGAGCTGGGAAATGACAAGAGCAGCAGCCCATAGCGCCTGTATTGCAAACAAAAGAGGGAAAAAACTGGAACACGAGGAGAGTTTTGTATGCTCACATAGTACTATGTGAGCATATGTGGGTCTTAACTTTGTTCTCTTCACTGGGTGAATTGCTAACTGCCAGAGAGTAGTGAAGCATCCGCACGGTGAACACAGGGGTGGGTTGTTAAAGCTCACAGAAGCAGGAATCGGACCAAAATCCCTAACGTGTGTGCCTGGCAAATGGTGTGTGATAGTAAGGTGGGGAGCAGAAGAGGTCTCCAAAAGGAAGAGGAGTGCTATGAATGCTTTAAGGTTGCCATAGTAATAAATGATGAATTGCAGACCCCTACAGCAAATTATCCTCTCTCTCAGCAGAAGCATTCTGAAGTTAGTTTATAGGTTGTTTTTGAATGTTGTTTTACACATCCCTTATATCAAAAACTAGACTGAACTTAGCCATTGTGGAGCTCATATTGCAATTAAATTCTTGTCATCCAGCTTCATTGTGTGCATAACTCATTGCATCTTGTTTTTTTTCTGTAGAACTATGTAGAAGAAAAGCTTATTCCCACTTGGAATTGGATGGTTAGCATCATGGACTCTACAGAAGCTCAGCTGCGTTATGGCTCTGCTCTAGCATCTGCTGGTGACCCAGGGCATCCGAATCATCCCCTGCACGCGTCTCAGAACTCGGCCCGAAGGGAGAGGATGACAGCCCGGGAGGAAGCAAGCCTACGGACACTCGAGGGCAGGAGGTATGAGGAGAGTTGGAATGTTGAATGTGATACACCTGGAGTTTAACTTTTAAATACACCAGTGTAGTAGTTGTTTTGATTTAAGATGGATGCCTGTATTATTGCTACTCTTTGTTTTATTCTGAAGTACGAGCTTTATCTTGCTAACTGCTAGGTTGTTTGTGTTTGAGTTGTTTATACACAGTAAAGCGTAAAACCACAATTGCTGTTATCACACTGCTTTTATGCTTTGGTATTTTCACGTCCATATTTGAAAGACATAGACTTAAAAATGTGCAAAAGACTTGGTGCCTAATCTCTCTGTATGCAATTCTTTTCTTCACTAGACGTGCTACTTTACTGAGTGCCCGTCAGGGGATGATGTCGGCACGCGGTGATTTCCTGAACTACGCGCTGTCCCTGATGCGTTCGCACAATGATGAGCACTCAGATGTTCTTCCTGTTCTAGATGTCTGCTCACTAAAGCATGTAGCATATGTTTTTCAAGCCCTTATTTATTGGATTAAAGCAATGAATCAACAAACAACATTGGATACTCCTCAGCTGGAACGGAAAAGGTACTGAGGCTGACTCACAGAAGTTGTGTGTGCTCTTTTTTGCAAATACCTGAATTGTTACTCAGCACCTCATACGTGTTTGAAGACTGCTAGGCCTGTTGCAGTGTCCCGTTCAAATCTGGTCATGATGACTGCTGTAAGAATTTCTTACCACAGAAACTTAAGTTTGATTTCTATTTCAGTGACGTTGCCTCTAAACGACTGACTTGGGGCAATTTATCATCTTGAAAAGGCAATCTGCTCCTCATATTTAGCATGATAATGACTAAGTAAGAGTTTGTCAAACATGTTAAGAGCGATGTGAGAGAATTTTGAAGTTTGGCATAAAGGGCACACCAGTTCTATATTCTGTTTAGTTGTGGCTTCTTGAGATTTAATTGGTTATTTAATGCACCATAGGGAAGTGTCAGTAGTTGAAAAGGTCATTAAGTTTTTAATCTACACAATTTTAACTATAGCATTTTTATATTTCTCACAAAGCAGTAATAATTAGCAGTGCTCAGTTTAATTCCATGCTTCCTGACCATTGTAAACTTCTCTGATAAAATATAGATTTTTAAGCTCACTTTTTTTAATGCCCTTCAATTTGAAACAGCAATTAATAATTACAGAGATGTTTGTATGGTGATAGTCTACACCATCTGTTTCAATTTCTTAAGTTTTGAGGTAATTTATCCGAAGAGTCCTTGCCTACAGTTTGGTAAAAATCTTTTCACCTTTCTGCCCTGAGTTTCAGCATCAAGGTCACACTTCTCATTTTCTCTACAGAGTTTAGAAATGGTGATTTTTATGTATGTATGTATTTATATATACACACACACACGTGTGTGTGTGTGGTATCAACATTCTAGACATATATTGGACTACTGATGTAGCTCCAATATTATGCTAATGATATCTTGAGGCTTCTTACAACTTTAAAATGTATCATCTAATTTCTAAATATATTTAATGATGCCACATATTTTAAGTGCCAAAAATGAATACTAATCAGCTGCATCCATTTTCTCACTAACTTATCTTTTATGCTGTGATCAGTGAAACTATTTTCTTTAGAATAAAGTGAAATCAGCACCAATGGATTCTAGACTAGTATTCAGTATATGATTCTCTCCCTGGTGTGGGGTTCCTAGTTTGTTTATATGGACATATTTTTTAAACAAACAAACATACCCATCACTTTCTGAAGCTGTAAATTTTTAAAACTTGGAAGTAGATATCTGTTGGTGGCGATATAACTAGAGGAAGTGGTAAGCATGAGGGTGTGATAAGGAGTGTTCTACAGCTTTGCAAGCCATATCCTAGTGGATATGCTTGACAACCAGCAATGTCAGTGTGAGATCTGTGCCAAGTTTACAAATTTTGTTTCATTTTTAGAACTCGGGAACTTTTGGAACTGGGTCTAGACAATGAAGATTCAGAACATGAAAATGATGATGACACCAATCAAAGTTAGTATGCCATGATCTGACATTTTCTTTCTTTCTTTTTTTTTTTTTTTTTTTTTAGCTAGCCTTGAATAAAAAATTTCTATTTGCATATGTTATGTCAGTGCAGTGAAAGGATGTTCTTTTAACGTTGTCTTCTAGTAAGACGTTCTTACCATTCTTACTCATCCAAACATCTGCCTTTGTTCTCGTTCTGGTGCTCTTTTTGTCTCTGTTCTCACCAAACTCTAAGTTCTGCCTTTGCTTCTAGTTCTACACAATGACAGAATTTAAAATTCAAATCTGAGTTAAACTCTGATACTGGGCTGATGAAACTGCTGCTGAAAATATACTCTGTACTGTGCTCCATACTCCATCTCCAAAAATATAAGGTCACTGCTTCCCCCTCTCCCCCCAGTTTGTTTTTCTCATTTTAGTTCTGTATGTCAATTGTACACAGCAATCAGCATTAAAGGAACCCTGCCAAGGGGTAGTTGTCACTACAAAGCTGGTTACAATGAAGGGAATGAGTGGCAACTTTTTAAGAACATATTGGGAATAAAAATAATGGGAGCATCATGTAGAACCGTTACATTTTCAGAGAAATTTTCAGAGTTTCCTGCTGCTCCAAACAGATAGCTAAGATAAAAGCTCCTTTATTTTTAATGTTTTAAGTCTTTTGGATTTTATAACTGTAAGTGAAAACAGAAGTAAAATCTTCTCTGATACTTTAGGTGCTACACTCAATGACAAGGATGACGACTCCCTCCCAGCAGAGACTGGCCAGAATCATCCGTTTTTCCGACGGTCAGACTCCATGACGTTCCTCGGTTGCATTCCACCCAACCCTTTTGAGGTTCCTCTGGCAGAGGCCATCCCCCTAGCAGACCAGCCCCATCTGTTACAGGTGACATCAGGGATTGTGTTCTGGAAGATAATTCCTGTTTTCTTTTTCCTTTCTAACTGAAATATATTATTTACCCAGAATGCTTTTGTTACTTTTCAGCCAAATGCTCGCAAGGAAGATCTGTTTGGCCGACCAAGTCAGGGTTTATATTCATCTTCTGCCAACAGTGGGAAGTGCTTAGTGGAAGTGACAGTGGATAGAAACTGCCTTGAGGTAAATGGAAAGGTTTTCTCATTTCAGACAGTGGAGTTAACTGAAGCTAGTATCTTCATGCCTTAAAAAGACACTTAACATGATTCTCTCGGAAAGAATTTAAATATCTTTCCAAATAATAATTTGAGAGCTCAGTAAATACAAAACTTGAACTTGTTACGAAAAAGTATGCTCTAATTTTAAATCCATTTTAAATTTGTGGGACTTCACGGTTCCTGACTAATCTAATATCTAATTTCAGGCAGTATTTTAAGGGCTACAGTAACATCTGCACTAATAGTGATATGCCAATTAGGCATGTTTTTTTTTAATGACAAATAATTATATCCCCATGCCCAGCAGAATTGTCTTGCCTATAGACTGAACATTAAATGCCATGTGTATGAAATGCAAACACAAAACAGCAATATTATTTTGGAAGATTTTTCTGAGACATTGATATTAATGTGTTTTTAAAAAAGCAATTAGAGTGCTTATTTTTGTGTGACTCTAAAATTGTATATATCCTGGGAAAGCAAAAAGTCAAATTGGAAAATTCAATTAAATTTTATTTCTCCTTGTGTAGGTTCTTCCAACTAAAATGTCTTATGCAGCCAATTTGAAAAACGTCATGAGTATGCAGAATCGGCAGAAGAAGGAAGGAGAGGAACAAAATGTGCCCGCCGAGGAATCTGAGGGTTCAAAGCCGGGGCCTTCTGCGCATGATCTTGCAGCACAGCTGAAAAGCAGCTTGTTGGCAGAGATCGGGCTGACAGAAAGCGAAGGGCCACCTCTCACATCCTTCAGGTAGTTGGAGTTGAAAAGTACTCTGTAAACAGTGCTGAGCTGATAGAAGGATATCTGGGACAGGTTTTTATATTTGGGTGAGGAGAAAGCAGGTAGCTTTAGTTTTAATTTGCCACTGCTATTTGCTAGGTGTCGAACGTTTAAATAGACTTGAAAAAAGAAGTTTTTGCAACTAACAACTGTAAAGTTTGTAGCTGGAAATCCTAGATGTCTCAAGACAACTTGCACTGAAGTTCTTACAGTATGCAGGTTTTATTATGCAAAGTCTATTAGTTTTATCAGTGCTTTTTATCAATATCAATCTTGGGCTAACATCTCTCTCAGTTTATAACCAACAAATTAACTGAGCTCAACACCTAGAAATCCTCCATATTCCAGTACCAACTGTCAGAAATAAAAGAACTTATTTTGAAGCACACAAAATGTGGCTGAAATGTAACTTTGCTTGATTGTTTTTCCTCCTCCTGCCAGGCCACAGTGCAGTTTCATGGGCATGGTGATATCTCATGACATGTTACTGGGACGCTGGCGCCTTTCTTTAGAGTTGTTTGGTAGAGTGTTCATGGAAGATGTTGGAGCAGAGCCTGGATCGGTATGTATTTTCTGGTATGAGGACAATACTTTTTACAGCCGAATTGTGAATCTCACTCATTATTCTCGACTTTGTTTTTAAGATCTTGACTGAATTAGGTGGCTTTGAAGTAAAAGAATCAAAATTCCGCAGAGAGATGGAAAAGCTTAGAAACCAGCAGTCCAGGGATTTAACGTTGGAGGTAAAAAATGTTAGTTTATTTTCCAAATTTGTCTTGATTAAAAGCTGAGCTGTCACACATTGCAATCATGATAGGAGAATCTATGTTTCAGAGTCTGCAAGCAACACCTTAAAGCTTACTACATGAGCTGTGTTGCAATTATGCTATAGTTTTTCATATTCTAGTGAGCATTTCCTGAGTTTATGCAGGAGTTTTCAGCACCTTACTTGTGATTTCTTGTAAAGCTGAAATTTTTCTTTTCAGTGTGGCGATTGGTAAAGAGAGGGACAACTCTGTATTTTGTGTTTCTTGCCAGGTTGATCGAGACAGAGATCTTCTAATTCAGCAAACCATGAGGCAGCTCAACAATCACTTTGGTCGCAGATGTGCCACCACTCCAATGGCCGTACACAGAGTAAAAGTGACTTTTAAGGACGAGCCCGGAGAGGGCAGCGGTGTAGCACGAAGCTTTTATACTGCCATTGCCCAGGCCTTTCTGTCAAATGAGAAACTGCCAAATCTAGATTGTATTCAGAATGCCAACAAGGGTACCCATACAAGTAAGTGTTATGTAGCAGTTAATCTACAGGCAGCGTTTGTAAATGCCTTGGATGTGTTTTACATTGAAATACTTGCAGTTGTTTGGATTCTGGGCTAGTCTAACAAGAGAAACAATGAGAATTAAGAAAAAAATACATGTTGTTAGTTCTCTGAGGGTGTGTAGATAGGGTTTTTTTTGTTCCTAAGAATAAAAGGCTCTTGTTTTTCTCAGAATAGGAGACTATTGTAGCTGTTAGCTTTTCTGGAGCCTTTTTCCCCATACCTTATAGTAGATAGTAATTGTTTCTTTTTCACTAGGAAACAATGTGTGTATTTAATGTGACTGCTCCATCTAGTCTGTCATAAATACATTTCAGTGTGTTTGCATGAGTATATGAACTCCAAAGACTTTTGCCGTTTTAAATTCATGCAAACGCTTCAGAAACTTGGCTGAACCCAAACCACTACTCGAAGTGAAGTGGTTCTGTCTCATTAATAACTTTCAAGCTATTTTATAAAAAATATGTTCCTCTTGGTTTGAAATTTGGGTAGGAAAGAGAGGTGTGACGATGTTTATGCTTCTGAGTTTTCTCTTCCTTCAGGTCTGATGCAGAGATTGCGAAATAGGGGGGAAAGAGATCGGGAAAGGGAACGAGAGAGAGAAATGCGGAGAAGTAGTGGCTTGCGAGCTGGTTCTCGGAGAGATAGGGATAGGTAAGTCACCTATTTTTTATTTGTCTGAAATACTTTGTCAAATATCCTTGGTTATCTTCAGGAAAGAGCTTGTATTTCCTAAACGAAAAATACCATCCTTTATCACTTTTTCTAGAGCAAGTAACAGGATAGCTGAAATTCAATATATGCTTTAATTCTTTAAAGAAAAAAATATGCTTATTCCAGTATTGCTAGATTATGCTTCCATTGGCTAAAACAACAATAAAAGCTGTTGTACTAGAGTAAAACTCTTGGGTGTTTTTGAAACAGCATTGCCATTGCTGGTGGCATATCTGGATGCTGTTTCCAAAATACTATTAGTGGTAAAATCTCTGGTGCATCTTGATTCTCTGTTTCTGAATCATTCTCTCCAGGCAGCTATGAGAGATGCTACTGCTCTAGCATGAAAGCTAATACTGTTTTAAGTCTGGGTGTAAGTGGTGCTATTTCAGATGATTTTCTTTTTTGCATATTTTCTTTGAATTTAGTATAAACTGCTGTAACTTTTTAAGGGACTTTAGAAGACAACTTTCCATTGACACACGGCCTTTTAGACCAGCATCAGAAGGAAATCCTAGTGATGACCCTGATCCTCTTCCAGCACATAGACAAGCCCTTGGAGAAAGGCTTTACCCTAGAGTACAAGCAATGCAACCAGTAAGACTTGCCTATATATATTACTTAATACTATTAATTATTTTTGGCTTCTTTTCATTTAAAAATGATTTTTACTGTGTCACTTGCTGTTTAATATAAAATATTTGAATATGTAGGAATGGTGTGATTACCTTTGGGATTTTCTTTAAATTTAATTTCTGTAATTTGTCATTTAGCTCATGATGTATCCCTTAACACATTCTATATTTAAAATGCTGGAAATTTTATAAAGCTATATTTGAAAACCAGAGAATGGAAAAAAACAGTAAGACGTTTGATTCTTCATCCCCAGGCTTTTGCAAGTAAAATCACGGGAATGTTGTTGGAATTGTCTCCTGCTCAGCTGCTACTGTTACTAGCTAGTGAAGATTCCCTTCGAGCAAGAGTTGATGAAGCCATGGAGCTCATTATTGCACATGGAAGGTAAAATATTGAGAATTCTGATAAAAGATGAAAACTAGTATTGTGGTAAAGCATTTAAACTGTGATAGTTTGATACAGCCAACTTTTTCTTTGGACAAGTGACTTGTTGACTTTGGCTGCCCATTAGAACCCCCAGAATATATCTCTTTTCCACACAGTCTGTTTTTTTTCTGAATTGAAACAAGGGCTACTGTCTAATTCAGATCAGAATAATAAATGCATTGACTACTATGTACAAATGTAAAATCAAAATCCTATTTGGCTTGAAAATTTAACTGAACAAAACTCAAATTACAGTAGCTTTCATACTTATGTAGCAGTTCTGGTTAAGGAATGTAAAGAATATAGGCCCATAATATAATTTCCGAATTATTACAATGTATGAAATTCAGAAATTGAATTAAAAAATATCTTTTAAATGAATGAATTTGCTTCCAGAAATAACCATTCCTCCGTGTGAAATTAAATCTTTATTTGCCTTTTTTTTCCCTTGTCAAGGGAGAATGGTGTTTTTTTTTAAGGGATTCGTTTGCCAGTTGAAAGTTATTTGCTTGCTTATGATGTTCAGTAGCTAGAAGATTTGTTAATTGCTATTTTGACTCTTGAAATAGGAAAATAGAAAGCGACATGGTTCCAGCCGCAGTGTAGTAGATATGGAATTAGATGATACAGATGATGGGGATGATAATGCACCACTTTTCTACCAACCTGGAAAACGAGGTTTTTATACACCAAGGCCTGGTAAAAACACAGAAGCAAGGCTGAATTGTTTCAGAAACATCGGCAGGTATGTTACTAACACTTTTCTGAAAAACTGTGGAAAGTGAATATATAAAATGACAGGGAAAATATTGGAGATCCGAGCCGCAAAACTTTTATTTACTCTTTACATATTCTGTATTTCTCACTGGAAGCTGTGCAGTGGGGAATTTGAATATGTCTGCTTGGGGGTTCTTTTCCTATTAAACTTTCAGTTTATCTTTTTACTATCGGGAAATTTAATACTGCAGGAAGTGATTTTGGAAGTAGTTTTGAAGAAAAAGTTGCTTGTTTACTTCTGTCTTACTGATTTGAGAGAGAGAAGAATTACTACTTTGACAAATGATGCTGTGGGATAAGTCTGTATTGTGAAAGGATGTATAGCAGCACTTTGGGGGATTTATGGGGCTGGAAAACTAGCTGCAGCTTATTTCTCAGAATATTCTGACTTTTTAAATGCAAGTTTGCTAAAAGATCTCCAGTGTGTTCTGTATTTTAGCAAATTAAAAACCAACTCTTTATTTTCAGAATCCTAGGGTTGTGCTTGTTGCAGAATGAACTATGTCCCATCACGTTAAATAGACACGTAATCAAAGTTCTTCTTGGAAGAAAAGTAAGTTAAACATAGAAAATCTGAATTTCCTTCAAGTACTTACAGTTGCCTTTTGAAAACAGAGGATTGTTTGTTTGTTTTCAAACTGAATTTATCCACTAGCAGGACCAGTATTGGAGCTGTCAGGATGCTTTCAAATTAAAAAGTTTTCATTTTTTCATTTCTTATATTTTAACTGCATAGATGCACTGGAAGTGTTGTAATAGCTTAGTCTTTGCTTCTCTTCACAAACAACATACTGTCCACTTTTTATTCCTTCCTGAGACAGAAGGCTCTGAGAGGTAGTATTAAACAGTAGTGGAAGATGGCATCTTGCCTTATGCAGAGGCATTTTCCTTAGAATTTGAGAGAACTCACTGATTTAAATTATAATTAATTTTGTTTCAAGTTTAGACATAATTTAACGCAGAGCAGTAATTACTTAAATTTTTGCCCAAAACATTTCAGGTGTCTGTTTGTGGTGTTTTTTTGTTGTTGTTTGTTTGGTTTGTTTGTTTTTGTTTTGTTTTGTTTGTCCTAAGAAAATACACTTCTTGCATTAGTCAGTAACATCATAAGCACTGTCTGATGTAACAATCTTAAACCCAAGTTTGTTACTGCTGGTTCTTTCTTAAAAACTATAATGATCACATAGTGAATTAATCCAGTTTCTCTATGATCTTTAATAAGGAGGTGTTCATCAAACCTGTAATGATTGAAGTGATACATAGAAGAAACTGTCTTAAAAACCCTGTTAAATTTCTATTCTACTATGCCCTTTGTAGCAGAAAAGGCTTTTCAGATCTATATATCTTCTGCTAATGTATTTTAACCCAGTATTCTGGTTTAAATATTCAAAAACAGGTTGAAAATAGGAGTTTAGCTGGCATTATTTCTAAGTCTTTGTATACTTCATTATGCGTGTAGTGCAGTGCCTTATACTGGTGTATATATTAGTCACAGTTGACATAATTTTGGATCTATTCTTAAGCAAGTGCTATATTTCAAACATCTATCTCCATTTTAGGTGAACTGGCATGATTTTGCTTTTTTTGATCCGGTTATGTACGAAAGCCTTCGGCAACTGATCCTCGCTTCCCAGAGTACGGATGCGGATGCAGTGTTTGCAGCAATGGATTTAGCATTTGCAATAGACCTGTGTAAGGAGGAGGGCGGAGGGCAGGTAAGTGGTAGAGCAGTTTGACAACTTAAGCATGTGGCAGTGTACGTGCAATCCAGGCCCTTCTGTGGTGCTAAAGCTAGTGGCACCTTTCCTGTATTCAAAGTAAGGGATTTTCTTTAGCCATCGAAGTGCTGGGAGAGCAGAGTTGATTCTAAAGAATCTTGAAAGCTAACTAATAGTAGTAGGAGGAGTAAATTTTGCTTGTTTTATTTGGAAAGAGCATTAGTAAGTTATAAATCAATATTCAACACATCATATCTGTTATAACAGTCTTATTTACTTTTGTTTTTCTTTTAAAATGGTTCTTCTTGCTTTGCTATAGGTTGAACTTATTTCCAATGGTGTAAATATACCAGTCACTCCTCAGAATGTGTATGAATATGTACGGAAATATGCAGAGCACCGAATGTTGGTAGTGGCAGAACAGCCCCTACATGTAAGTCTTTGGTTTTAAACCAAACAACCCTCCACCTTGCTGAAGATTCCAGTCTGTAATTGTTTTCCTTTGCTAATCAGGTTCCTTTAGAGGTCTGACAGCCTGGCTAAAAAGTCTTTCTAATTACCTAAATTTTATTATGAACGTAAAACTGTTTATGCAATATTATGAAGAGAAGTGTTGGAATAAATTCTGCATTTTATAGAATGAAAAATTGCTTCTTTTAAACTCTTATCTTATTGGTAAAGTATATATGTTCATTTCTTGAGCTTAAATAACAGGAGATTTGGAGATTGTGTTCAGCAGCTATTTTATCCTAAAATCTTTGTTGCCTTTGACTTTTTTAGCTTTATAAGCAAATATTAAAAGAAATCCTAGAATATTTACCTAAATCACCTTGAACTCCTGATATGATTGTACCCTTGCTTTAAAAGGAAAAAACAGTTAGGATGCATACAGTTTTTGTTCTTACTTTTATTACATACCTCTCTGACAAGAAGCTTAACAATTGGCTGTATTTGCTTTTTGAAGCCATTTTTAAGTCAAAGTTATGGGAAAGGATGTTTGAAAGTTATGAAAAAAAGATGTTTTTGATCAGTGTGTGAAAGGGCGATGCTTAGAACCGCTTACTGCAGTGCCAGATTTCTCTGTCAGATGGTCTGCTATGTTGAAACTAGTTCATTTATGCTGACCTTGGTTTCCTGATGCATTTGTTGCTGCTCCCGTTGGTTGGTAGAGTATGAATTCAGTCTGTCACTGCTTTCTGCTGTACGCCTCATACTAGCCTATAGCTGAACACAGTATTTTTCAGATCTGATTGGTGCAGTGCTCCATTCCAGAAAACTTATAGCTCACAGGGTAAAGCTTAAAAAGAAAGACTGCTAGGAGGATAATGAGTAATGGAGTTGATAGAGCATTCGTTGTGGGACTTTTCAGTAATGCATTTAAGATTAATCTGAAAGTGATGTGGCTACAATGCAGATGTTATGGTTTTCTTTTAAGGCAATGAGGAAAGGTCTCCTGGATGTGCTTCCAAAGAATTCATTAGAAGATTTAACAGCAGAAGATTTCAGACTTCTGGTAAATGGCTGTGGTGAAGTAAATGTGCAAATGCTTATCAGCTTTACATCTTTCAATGATGAGTCAGGTATGAATTAACTTCCTCATTTAGAAACAGAGTTGCAGAGATAACCTAACACTGTACTTTATTGCATAGAATTAGCAGCATTAAACTGTCTCCAAACTGACTTCACCTAACTCACTGCAAGTCATTATAAATTTTTTGCTCTTTTTAGGTGTTTGAAAATATTTATCTTCAGCTGGAGGGGCAGGGTGCTTGTGGGAAGACCCAATTTCTAACTTTAGTGTCATTTGACATTAAGTGCAAGGATTGTGTAATTGGTAATGTCTTTCCTTCTGAAAGGTCTAACTGTAGAACTATAAATACGACTAAAACATGATTAACAGCTAATGTCCTTTAAAAATCATTTAATAGGCTTTTTTGGATAACAGGTAATTGGATATAGTCAGAATTGGCCTTTATGATAGAAGGTGTTTATATTTATGTGGGTTATATTGGAGACCAAACTAATTCTGTCAAGCCTTAAGAAGAAAAGGGATTGTAGCTGTGATCCAGCTCTTACTGAACGTGTAGGGGAAAAAAAAAACTCCAAAAAACAAAAAACACCAAGCAACCAACCAAACAAAAAAGCAACAACAACAACAAAAAGAAACCTGCAGATTTCTCAATTCTTACTGTCCAGTGCACCAACTGAATTATATGTATTTTTATTTCACACAGGAGAAAATGCTGAGAAGCTTTTGCAGTTCAAGCGTTGGTTTTGGTCCATAGTTGAGAAGATGAGTATGACAGAAAGACAAGATCTAGTAAGTTATTTTTTCACTAATGTCCAGAAGAACTGGGATTGCTTTTGTGTTTTTACTGTTTTACATGGGTTTACAGGAAGAGACTTTATATGTGAAAACCAAGGTGTCAGAGCAGGGAAGTTGAGATTGATTAGACTTTTAAGTCCTGGAAACATGAGGTGTGAATTCTAGACAAACTTGCAGCTGAATTGCAGATACTTAACCGTCTCGGCCGTGCTTGAGCTGTGTTGTGGATTATTAGGGTTTGAGGCCAAGTTCTCTTCCTGGATCAGTTATTCTCCTGGCTTCTGTGTATCCTGAGGACATCTGCTTTGCACCTGTATCTTCTCTGTCAGATGTCAATAACGGTACTGTCTGCTGCTTCTCAAGGAGGAACTTTCTTCTCAGGAAAAATTGATGAGAAGCATAAAAAAGGAAGATGTTCTTCAGCAGGTTTTGTTTTGGAAAACCTGCCTGTGAATTTTGTACATTTACTTCCCGAAATTGTTGAGTTTCCTGCTTCCTCTCCTTTACAATCAGCTAAAAGTAAACAAGGACTAATCTGAAAAGCGAAAAATCTGGAGTATAATTCTTAAGGAATATGTTTGGTTACCTCTAGTAGTGACTCTTCTCTGCAAGTCAATATTTCACACTTCAGATGACAAAATATTCTCCAGTGCTGAGTTCTGTCTGTACAAGTAGTATATTCTGTAGTCATTATTCGGTTTGGCAAAAAAAAAAAAAAAATCTGACATAACTTGCATTAATCTTCCCATATGACCTGGGGACATCATAATTCCTTGAGGATTTCTCGATGGGGCATCATTCTGAGTTCTGCTTTATTTGTTTTTGATAGATATGCTTGGTATAATTAGCAGCTGAGGAAAGGAAATGAGGAAATCTGTTACAAAAACATGTAGCGTAACCAGTGAGTTTATTTGGCAAATTGAAAGGACTGTATGATCAAACATATTATGACTCTTCTGTGCCATTCTCTCACTCGTGCTGCAGTGGTGATCTGTGTGCAATATGAATTTCTGTAATCCTGCAAAATTGTAAATCCTGTTGTCTTTTTTCAGGTGTACTTTTGGACATCAAGTCCATCACTGCCTGCCAGTGAGGAGGGATTCCAACCTATGCCATCAATCACAATAAGACCACCAGATGACCAACATCTTCCTACAGCAAACACTTGCATTTCTCGCCTTTATGTCCCGCTCTATTCCTCTAAGCAGATTTTGAAACAGAAATTGTTACTCGCCATTAAGACCAAGAATTTTGGTTTTGTGTAGAGTATAAAAAGTGTGTATTGCTGTGTAATATTACTAGCTAAGTTTTGTAGATTTTTCCATTTGTCTATAAAAGTTTATGAAAGTTAATGCTGTCATACCCCTGGTGGTACTTTAAAAATAAAATGCAAACATTCCTGTACTAAATTTGTAACGTAAAGGCCTAAGGAGCACTAGCAATATCTGATCGCAACAGTTTGCTAGTCAGTAACTCCTTGGCCTAACCCCAGCCAAAGATGACAGCAGAACAATATAATTTACACTGTGATTTATCTTTTTGCTGAGGGAAAATATGTAAAATGTTCTGAAAATTCACTGCTGCCTTTGTGGAAAGTGTTTCAGCAAAGGTTCTTGTATAGAGGGAGTAGGGAATTTCAAAATAAAAAATTAAGTATGTTCTGTGTTTTATTTTAACTTTTTTATGGTGTTTAATTTGTGGTTGGCTGCAATTGTGTATCATGTATATTGAACTTGTAAAAAGTTCCTGACGGCTCGGATCTCAGACTTGAGATCATTCACTTATGAAACCACTTTCATTGCAATTTTTGTTTGGGTTGCATTGAACTCTGGCACATCAGATACCATCACTAATATTTTGCATGTAATCTGTACCTTTAGTGGTTTTTTCTTTTTTTCTTCTTTTTTTTTTTTTGTACATATGATGAGGCCAATGCACAGTATTTCATAGTTCACAATCAACAATTTTTGTATCCCTATTTCAGTGAACAGACAGTCAGGAAACTGTTCCACTACCAGTTCTAACCAGACACTTGTACTACGTTATCTTAACTATGTAAACTCAGCCTGGGCACTTTCTGGTAACTGTAAAATGTTTATAAGATCATGATTATTGAAGATACATTTTGGAAAACTTTAATGTTCGTGAGCAGCTTAACTTCTTTTGTATCTAGCCTTTTTTAAGTATCTTGTTACAGTTTTTTAATAAAGAAATTACAGACAAAATACCAAGTCATACTGAAGAAACAATAGTTTTTATTTATTTAGCCACTTATACTTTAGCTAACATCATACACCAAACACAGTTGTTCATGAAAAATCTGAATTTTGTAACTGAAAAATTGACCTGCGGAAGACATTCAGCCCACATTTTACAGTTAGCAGAGAATCCTGAATGAAATGGGCCAGGCAACACCTTCTTTTCTCAGAATTGCTTTGAAGGGAAAGTGGCTTGCTCTGACAAACCTCGAGGTTATTGGGTTAGAATAAAACTTTAACTGCACTGTAGTGGGTTCTACTGTATGTTCACTTTCAAAGCGGTTGGTTTTTGGGAGGGCAGTCTCTGAACATAACCTAGGACTTGTTTTCCCTAGCTTGAGGTTTTATTTTTTTATTTTTTTGTGAGAGATAAGTGATTTAATAAATGAAGCTTTTGTGAGGTTTTTTCTTTTTTTCTTTTTTCTTTTTTTAATATAACAAAGGTCTGAAAAATTAGTGGTCTGAAATATTAAAGATTAAGGGCTTTTGTGATTATGATGTTTTCCTTTCTCTGCTTCTCCAACCCTTCAGGTCCAGTTAGTGATTTTTCTCTTCTTCCTTTTGGGGAGAGCTAAAGTAAAGTTCCATCAAAATCTGTATGGAATCCAGCTCTGCCAAAGCACTAGTGTTTTATTTTTTTCATGGAGTCAACTAATTGGGGATGTACAGAATCTACTTATAAGCGTTTTTGTGTGTTTTTGTTTTTACCTTTTTTTTAAAAAAAAAAAAGAAAAAAAAAAGCTGTTTGCATCATTTATTTAGTCACTACTGATACGCGGCATGGTCTAGGTCAGAAATTCTGATCACCACTTGCCAAATTGATCCTGAAAATATTGTTTTTAAATGAAGCTGACTGTTCCAGACTTGTGTAGTTAAACTGCATATAAATCAAGTAAACAACATAGAATTATTTCTGCATATACTGATACCTTCTAAATCAGTCATCCTAGCAAGGGTTAGTTTTAATGTATGGAAATTGGAGTCCATTCTGAATTTACCGTTGTGACCTTCAGTGCATCTTAAGTTCAAAATTATTTCAGTTCTTATGCTGGTACAAATGAAAACAAACAAACAAAAAAGGCAGTACAGCTACACAAGTCTAGATATAGGTGTATTAGTATAGATATGGAGTATTTATACTGGTATGTATAGCTGTTTTCACATTCTAAAGAGAATAGTTACAAAGGCACAAAGCAACATAAACCTTATGCCTGAATTTCTAACTGGTGTGATTATTTCCATTACCAGAAACGCCTCTTAACTGAAATGTGTTAAGTCAGTAGAAAGCAAGAGAGTGGAGGAGAGGGGAAAAAAAAAAAAAGAACTGTTTTAGAATAGGCCTCAAATCTACATTTTGTAAAATAAAAGCTCCATCCTCACAGAGTTTTGTGAGAGACCTAATGATGTATTTAAAGAGAAATATCCAAGATTCTTGGATGAAAGGCCATATATAAATGTAAAGTACTGTGTGTATATATATATGTATTGTGTGTATATGTATATAAGTGTATGTGTATGTATAACATATAAATATATGTTATATGTATATATATTTCTGTATATAGCTTAAACATTTTTTTAAATCCTGTAATGTATAGCTAGACAAAGATTATGCAGGTTAACTCACAGTAGCTCACGATATACACACACACAAGGCATTCTGATGACATAAGTGGAGAGGAAACCTAGAATGATTTATGCTGTCGTCATTGACTTGAAATGTGTATGTAGCTTTATAAATAGCTTTTTTTCCTCTGTATGGTATATTTAAACTATATCAAGATTTTAATAAGAAAAAATGTTTATTAAAATCATACACCTCATCTCCCTTTGACTTTAGCCCTTCTGTTAGTTCATTTTTAAGATGTGGTAGAGAAGTTAAAGGAGAAATCTCTGATTTTTTTATAGTCTAAATCTTTAGCAGTTCATAATTGCTGAAATAGGAGATACAGGTAGCTGCCAATAAAAGGTTATCACCAACATCAGGTCCTATTCTGAAGCTAGGAAGAGCTGATACCATAGTGCCTAACTTGCCATGGCTTAATGTTAGCCTTGGTCTGTGTCACTGTTAGCAGTATCCCACATGGCAGCTGAATTGCCAGCTTCCCCTTTGCTACTGCTTTCCAAAAGTGAAAAACTGAAGGGTGCTTTCTCATCAAGTGGCACTTTCTAGCTGTTTTGTTTGGGAGTTAGTTTTTTGGTCAGTAGATAACACTTCCCCAGCAGTCATTCAGGGATACATAGGAAAGTACATTTTCCTAACTCCTTAACCTAAATTTATCCTTTTAAAGTGCATGACCGTATAGAGACCTACTGTTTTTCAGGAGCTCACGTCAGTGTATTCATTTAAAAATGAACAAGGATAAAAAGTATGAAGTGTTTTGGTTTGGCTGTCGTTCAGGTGGGAGAGGTGTGCAGGTCGCTAACGCTGCTCCTGTTGTGGTTGTGCTTCGCAGGATGCGCTTTTGAGGCCTACTTCAGAATGCCTCCTTGGTGCCATCTTTCACACAGTGTGGAAGATACTTCTCTATTTTAGTAGTTACTTCCACTGAGCAAGCTTATCTGCTGATCTCACTCCTGTTTTATAATGTCCGTACAACTTCTGTATCATGTCTCTGTGCATAAATCTGTGTAAATGCCCTTCTTTATCTGTACTCTTTAATGACTTTTAATTCTCTAGCTTCCTGATGCTTGGCCAAGCTACAGATATCTAACTTCCTAGCTTTTCCCTTTGTTTTTTTCAGACCTTGTATAACTTGATCTTTTTTTCTGAACTTTTCAGCTTTCCTAATCCTTTTTATTAACGCATCCGCCAAAATCGAGTATGAAATCTTGCAAATCCAAATTAACTAGATTTCAGTGTGTGGCATTTGTTCGTCCCCGGGTCCGAGTGCTCACACACAGACTGAGAGATGTTTGGAAGGTGGTTAGATGAAAGCTTCAGTGTCGGCCATGCAGTCGTGGTGCTGGAAACCCATGGCCCATGTGCAAGAGGCTGCCATGGTCTGAGACCACGGCCTGCGCCTGTCCCCACCTAACCCACATCCCAGTGCAGTCGTAGCCTGGCAGGAGCTCCTGGCATCATCACAGCACTGATGTCTCCTCTCCTACCTGCAAATTTTTAAGAGGTTTTTAGGAGGGTACGTTACCATCCTGCTTGAAACAAGCCTCTAAGGGAGAATGCCTCTCCTGCCTCTTCTTTCTCCGTGGCTTAAAGCTGGTAGTAGGCCCTTATCTCTCAGTCTGCGATAGTTCAGTATTTCAGAAGTGTTGATATCTCTGGAAAACAGCAGAACTCCAAAGACTTGATTTCAGGTTTGTTGTTGTTCCCTCTTTCTCCCCATATTACGTCATTTTTGGCTCAGTACGGTGGCCTACAGCCTGGCCTTTGCCCCTTCCTGCCCTCAAGCTCAGTGCCACCCCAGCCTGGCCCTCGGTGACTGGGAAGGCCGTCGGCTGTGGAGCTTGTTTTAAATAGCGTAGTACAGGTACAGCTGGGTAGCCTCATCCCCCGCCAAACTCTGCACGGTGCTGTGTTTTGTATGTATATTTATTTTGCCTATAAACTTTTCGTTTACAATTTTGCAAAAAAATTACACACTTTTTTACTCTTCCATATTTCAGTGTCATTTAATTTAATTTCAGTGTCAATTAATGCACATGAAGCTAGCAGAAGTGAACAGTTTTTTGTTGGAGGTGCAAGAGCACCCAACTGCAGTTTTACTGATCCTTCCATCTTTCATAGTACATTTACTTTGCTGTACTTTTCCTCTATGCATTTTAGAATAATGTTAAACTTTAGGTAATGGATGAATAGGCACTGTGCATCTGTAAAGCATTTTTAAGAAGCTATCAGAAAATACTCAAAGTCTGTTACCTTGTTAATTATATTTGGTAGTTCTTACATCTTGACAAATACTCAACAGGATAATCCCTTATTTGGCGAATTTTGAAACAGCAGACAGGCAGGGTTGGAGGTAGGGAATTAAGATATACAAGCAAGTCAGTTTTATTAAATAGAAAGATCCATGCACGTTAAATTTGCAGGGATTTGGTTTTTGTTTTATTTAAGGGGGAGATGTATGAGCTACTGGGCCATCAGCATCATCCAGGTTACACACACCAAGGTAATCTGTCCGTGCTGATGGGTGCATTGAATCTAACCAGCTCCTATAGTGACACACTCTGGACCAGACCCAAAATGTGCAGTATTCAGTGCTCTAAAGCAAGGAGCTGTGGTGAGTTGGAACATTAAGAAATTTTTATACAGATCCTTGGGTAACGCACAGTAAATAAAGGCTGACAGAACAAGAGCAGTAGGTAACGGCAGATACTTTGAGCCATGTTTTTTTGAGCCATGTGTAAAGCCATGTTTTCTCATTTTATGCTCATTAACATGCTTCTGGTACACTCCTTAGTAATGGGGTGCTCAGGCACATGTTTTTGTTCTCGTCAGAAAACTCAATTTAATGAAAACAAAGCTGTTCTCATGCCACCTGCGCTGTGTGAGTCTTGCCAATGAACTTGCCCGAGCTGCTGGCCATGTTGAGACTTGAGCCCTTCTCAGGAAGGTGCTTAAAAACCACGGGGGACAGAGCGGGTCTGCATGCATTGAGTACCGTTCCTGTACTTAAAATCTGTACAGAGGAGAGTGGAGATCTTGACTATTCTAAAGCAGCCATGAAACACCTGAGGCGTCTTTTATTTATAGTAATTTTAAAAATCCTTAATGCAAAGCTAAATTCCTGGAAAACAGCATGAGAATCTCCTGCAGCTCAGGATTACGCAGCTGGGGTTGCTGCCTCTGGCTGCGAGTGGCCTGGCCTGCTGGGCCAGCTCTTGGTTTCGGGTGCATGGACGGAGCAGCAGCACGGAAAGGTTGTGTGGATCTGCAGCCTCCCATCCCCGGGGGCCACCAGGCACCAAACCTTCCTCCTCCTTCCCACCGCCTCCTCCAGACTCCAGGTTTTTCC